TTTTCTTATGCAAAGAACTGGGAACCAGTGGGCAGCTCAGTGGGAGAGCACTTGACTAGTATTCATAATGTGACTGGGCAGTTTCCTCTGTCTTGTTTCACTTGGAGCCATCTTTGATTTAACCTGAAATTGATATTCCCTTTTTCTACATCTGCTGTAAAGAGTCCCGTGGGAAAGTCCCCAACCCTGTTCTATAGACTCACGGTTGAAATAACTCTAGCTAACTGCATGTTTTGGGCTTCTGTTAAATTGCTTGCTTTACTTGTCTTTGCAACTGTCAAATACGATGCAGTTTTTCTGTGTTTTTTTTTTTTCCTTTAAAAGCTACCCACATTGAGGATGCTTTATGAGAAGCATTTCTCTCCAGGCAGTTACCAGCTGGCTTAATACAGGCTCTCAATTAAGACTTTGGTTGGGCTGAGTAGTCTTTTTGTCTTTAAACCATAAAGCCCTGGAGGATTTGACCCCTAGCACCACGGGCAGTTGAGTGAGGGAGAGTGTCAGATATCTTTTTAATCTGGGCACAAATAGTATTAAAATTTTAATTAACTTTTTCAAAACAAATACAACTGGGTGTAGTGATGCAAACCTGAGATCCTAGAATTTAGAAGTGGGAGGCAGGAGGTTTGGAATTTAGAGCCAATCTCAGCTACATGGTGCCTTTCAGGCCAGCCTGGGCTATGTGAGTTTCTGTCTCAAAAACTGAGATATAATATTTATATTCATTTTTTTAATTACAATATTAAACTTCAATATACATTACAATGTAAAATGCCATTTAAAATTTTTACTATCATAAAATTCATGTCAAAAAATTCTGGTTACATATTGTGCCTGTAATCACAGCACTTGCCATGTTAAGACAGGTGGACCAAGAGCTCAAGACACCTGGGGAGTGCTGGAGAGATGGCTCTGCGGTTAAGAGCACTGCCTGTTCTTGCAGAGGTCCTGAGTTCAATTCCCAGCAACCACATGGTGACTCAAGACCATCTACACTGAGATCTGATACCCTCGTCTGACATGCAGATGTACATGCAGACAGAGCACTCATATACATAAAATAAATGTTATATAGCCTTTGGCACAGTTCCCTGCAAGCTCTCCCCTCCCTGTGTCTATAGGAGAATTAGGTACTGTGTTCCTGCCCATACTAGGAGTGTGCTCCTAATCTATATCAAGCATCCTTCAAGTACCTATTTCCAACTAATTATGTACACCTATCTTGGAAGTCCCATCAACTCCCCAAGGACTGTATAGTCTTTTTCTATCTGAATAAAGTTGAGCTACTTCCCTGAAGTAGTTTCTGGAGGTCATTTCTGTTGTGCTCGTGGTCCCCCAAACCCTTTGCCTCACCTTCTGTTCCTCCTGTCTTCCTGCCTTGGTGGGCTGGAGGTCAACAGCCACCCAGGGAAGACGAGAACTACATATATTTGAAGACATAGGTAGTATTCTGATAGTGTTAGAAATATGGATGTATCTTAAACTAAAATTCTCTCTCGTCATAACATCATCTTGACTTGTAGATTATAAATGAGCCTGATCTCTCAGATGGCCACTATTCACATCATAAAAGTACAGACAACACATATTGGCAAGGGTAAGTGCCTTCCAAAATAAAGTGGACCACTAAAGTTTCAACTTTTCTTTACATACCAGGCAAGTCTTTCTCTTCACATGTTACCGGAATATTGGTGAACAAAGTCGGCTTAGTCAATCGCATCACTGTCAATTAAGAAAGACAAAATGTTTAAATTGTTTAGTTGAGTACACATTATTCATCAATTTCATACTAATATAATTTAGTTATGCTCTTAGATATAGGTACTAACACTATACAAGGTTAGTATTATCCCTATTATACAAGGCAGACAATGCCTACTGAAGTCAATTTGCACATTAGCAAAATAAGTTAGTGACAGAACCTAAACTAGAACCGGGGTGGCTTCACACTGTTTAAAACATGTCCCTGAAACAGTTGTTAATTGTAAACTTGGGGTCACAGGGGTGAAGTCTTATTAAAAATATTCCAGGGAATTCAAGCAAGACTCTATTCCCGTGTTAACCAGCTCAAGGCTTGTGTTGGTGTCTCCAACCTTCACTTTTACTTTTGAAAAAAGATCTATCATCTATCTATTTGTCTATCTATCTTCATGTATTTGAATGCTTTGCCTGGATATGTGTATGTGTACCATGTAAGTAGCTAGTCAGAGGCGGTCACAAGGTCCTCTGGAACAAGAGTTGCGGAAGGCTGTGGGCCACCATTACGGAATCTGGTTCCTGTGCAAGAGCAATATATGGGTGCTCTTAATCACCAAGCAATCTCTCCTGCCCCGTTCTTACTTTTTAACTAGGAAAAAAAGTTAAAATTATTAAATATAACACAAAGACAAGTAAGTACCCTGAGAGAGGCAGCCTTCTTAATTTAAATAGCTAAAATCCAAAGCCCATCTTTGTTGTTGTTTTGTTGTTAAGTCTAGATGGGCTCAGGGTCTATATCCTCCTTCATTAGCTGAGTATGGGATTACAGGTGTGTAATACAGCTATGCGTACCACATGATTGCAAATCTATGAGACACATACTGGGCAAGCAGAATTACATAAACAGCTCATTCTTCAAACTTTATTGTTCTTGTATGAAGTTTTGGGACAAGGTCTCACATTCATAGTCCAAGATGACATGGAATGTGCTATGAAGCTCAGGCTAGCCTTGAAATTTCAATCTCCTTTCAAGTGCTGGCTTTATAGCCACAAGTCACCACGCCCAGTTCCTTCCTTTAGTGCTTCTGAAATATGTCTCACCAGCAGCCCAGATTGTCCTGGAACCTGGAGATACACCCGCCTTTGCCTCCCCAGTGCTGGGATTAAAGACATGTGCCACGCTTGGCTCTCCTTGGGCTATTAAAAAAAGAAAGAAAGCTAGGGTTTCAATGTACTTTTCTAGAGAACAGAATAAAATGTGCCAGTATCAAAGGCGTGTTTACAACCATCTCAAATATTATAATGAACTAATGGATCTAAAAATACCGAAGATATAGGTAGAGAAGAGCAAATTGTACCGGTGAAAGCGAGGTTTAAGAAACTCCGGCAGTGGGCTGGGGAGATGGTTCACTTGGTAATGTACTTGTGTTAGACCTCAGAAACCACGTATGAAAGGTTGGGCGTGGTGACGTGGACGCTTAGGGCTTGCCGGTCAACTTGCCCAGCCTACTTGAAACACTTCAGGTCAGGGAGAGACCGCTTCCCTTAAATCAGGAAAGCAAAGCAAACAAAGCAAGGTAGCTGATGCTCGAGGGGCCTCGGATGTCCTCGGGCTCTGTAAGTATTCACACACAAGAAACACTGACGGAGCAACTAAAAGGAAGTACTAGCTATCGGACAGTAATTTTATGTCTGTGCTTCAATGTTAAGCTATTTGTCAAAAAATACCAATTTAGTCTCATAAGAAGAAAAACACACACACACAAAAAAAAAAAAAAAAAAAAAAGAAAAACACATGAGTTTTATTTGGGAATCAGATAATCACTGGGCACATCTGATAGTACAAGTGCCTAGAATAGAAACCTGGAAACACACATTCATTATAATTTTTTTTTTTTTTTTTTTTTTTTGACACAGGGCTTGTCTGTGTAGTCTTGGTTGTCCTGGACTCACTTTGTAGATCTGGCTGGCCCTGAACCATCACATCGATCTGTCTGCCTCCGCCTCCCTAAATACTGGGATTAAAGGTGTGCACCACCATGCCTGGCTTCATTATAAGTCTTAATTAAGGCAAAAGTCATAAGTTAGTGAACTGGGCCAAGTACAATTTGCATAGTCATTTTGTTTGGCCAGGAGCTGAGAGACTAGGTAGACTCAGGTTCAGTGTCTTTACTGCATTTTATAGCCTCGCCTGTTTGGCTCTCAGAGGCATTCAAGATTGAACCCTAGATTAACTTTTAGTGTTTTCTGAAGATTACTTATTAACTGAGAACTCATTTTGAATACTAAAACAAACAAACAAAAAACCCCCACAAAAGCCCCCACACTTGCTATTTGTTATGTTGGGAAATGAAGTTAGATGTGCCTAAAACCAGGTCAAAGTTCAAATAAGCAAACCAAAGTTTATAAGTTGGATACTTCCACATCTCATCTTTCTCTACCCATTATCTGCCTCTTCCCAGAGAGTAAGTGCTGATTGTATCTTTCCAAATGCTCTGATTTATCTTTCCACACTTTATCTTTCTTTCCCTAGTATATCTCATGTGTGAGTAAACAGTGGACTCTTCAAAGGGCGGGAGTTTAATGGTATCAGCTAATGGCAGAATCACCTCGTCCCAGGAATCCACGTAGAGCACTAAGCACATCCTTTTAAAAGGCTTCTAGAGGACCAGACAAGGAGGTGGTGGACAAAAGCAATTCCCAGGAGCTACATGGTGGAAGGAAAGAACCAACCAATTCCTGCAGGCTGTCTTCCATATATGCACTGTAGCATGTACACTCACACAATACATACATGTAATTTAAAAATAAGATAAAAGGCTTCTAGGAAATAACGGTGGGTTCTAAGTTCTCAGGCCTTGATAACCTCTTAAGTATTGTCTAGGTAAATGGGAAATTAACCTTTTCTTCTTTAGAATGACTGGGCTATTTGAAGTAAAAAAATTTTAACTTCTCAGTTTTTTGGTTTTGTTTTGAGACAGGGTTTCACTGTGTAGCACTGGCTGTCCTGTCAACTCTGTAAACCATGCTGGCCTAGAACTCACACAGATCCACCTGTCTCTGCCTCCCTCTTACGTGCTGGGATTAAAGGCGTGTGCCACCACCACTTGCCAACACCTCAATTGAGTCTCAGAGAGGTAGAAAGCAATTTATCTTTGGTAAATCAGAAAATTTCAAAATTTCCACATATGAAAACAAAGAAACTCCTTTTAATTCTTGGATTTAAAAACTGATACTTTTAATTATTATAATCCTTTCAAAATAACAAAACTATCACAAAAGTGCTATGATTTCCCAACTTTTAACCCTTGATTGGCAACCTTGTGATAAATCCTGGAAAATAAAAAATCAGACATACTTGTGTTAAGACTTTTAATTTTACACACAGCCCACATTTACTTAGGTAAGTAAGGATTTTAAGTAATCATTAAAATTCAAATCATTTAAACTCAATCAGTGGGATAAATAGAACACTTACTTTCAATTTTATTACAAACAATAATTCATCACAGTTTACTTAAAAGAATGCTAATGAACAATCTAGAATGCTCCTGACTTGACTGACAAGCCTTCAAATAATGAGATACTTATTTATATACTGGTCACAAACTGTACACATTTACACAATTATTTCTTCACAGTATAAAAAAAGCATCAAAATTTAAGGTAATGATCAGTAAAATTTATTCATGTTAATTTCAGTCCATATTTGTTTTATTTATTTCATTCAGAATATTTTTTGATAATCAGAATTCACATACTAAAAATAACGCCATACTTATGTACAAATAAATTAATTTTCCCAACCAGAGATAATCTCTCTTTAAGAAGACTTCCTACATATTCACAATACATGATGTCACAGAACACCCATATTTGGCCTAACTGTCTCTGGATGGTAGCATTACAAGAAGGAAGTTCATGGTGCCTGATAAGGTGATTGAGTTTTGTCCAAATGTCTTCCAGCGTCTGGTTGTTGCAAACACTGTCTTCTTCTAATGTCCATCTTGCTCTATGAAGGGAGTGCAAATGTAGTGTCTTTAGACTAGCTTGCAGTTTTTTAGACAAAGGAAAAAACTTTTCTGGACAGTGTTTACTGCCAAGTGAAACACTCCAGGATCTCTTCTTGGGCTGATTTTCTTTTCTTGAATTTTTATCCAAACTTCCGGAACTAGTCTGTTCATTCAGTGTGTGTGACTGGACTAAGTTCTGCATTTTCACACTAGTTTGAAATTCCAAAAGATCTACTGTGCAGTCATAGCTCTGTGACTTAATGCTAGGCTCTGAAATGGTTAGGCGCTGTTTCACAGTCTCAGCAGCCTCTCCAGAAATGGCTGGTGGTAATCTTTTAGGCTTGAGTGGAAGTTTGGACCCATCTTGTGGAAACCAAGGAACAAATCTTGATAGAGGGTGAGTAGGAAAGTCTTGGATTGCCTTTTCTACAATTTTTGCCAGCTGCGTGGGATCATTTTCATATGGTCGATAATGTAATATTACTTCAGTAGTCATTCTGCACTAATCCATTAACTCTTAATGAAGAGAAAATTTCTTAGCTGAATTCTTCAGAGCTAGAATGTAATTGATTATTTACAAATTTGTCTCTCTTGTCAAATCAGAAGAAACAGGACCTAAAGTAGAAGTATTGCAAAGAATAAGATTTTGTAGGGACAGCCTGCATACAGATAGGCAGAAAGAAGGCAAAACCAAACACCATTCCCCATATGGTATTTTAACAAAGTGCTATGGCAAACGTAACTATAATCACACACTTGAAATTTTTTTTTCTTACAACAATAAGGTATGTGAATTGAATTCTAGTCAAGATTACATTTAGCCTGAAAATGCTGATAGTACGCTCAACTAAATGGATACAAAGGACTTTGAAATATCATCATTAAAATGTTAGGTAATCATAGCTCTAAAAACAGAAAAGTTCTCTAAGTCTTACCATGTAATGTAATATTTAAAAATTTTGCAGAGCTGGAGATGGTTCAGTAGTTTAAGAACACTGGTTGTTAAAAACGGAAGAGAAATAAAAGTTTCCTAAGTCTTACCATGTAATGTAATATTTAAAATTTTTGGGGAGCTGAAGATGGCTCAGTAGGTTAAGAACACTGGTTGTTTTTCCAGAAGACTCATTTTAATTCCCAGCACCCACATGATGGTTCATGACCATCTATTACACAGTCCAGAGTATCTGACAGTCTCTTCTGGTCTCCATGGGCACTGTACGCACATGGTGTACAGACATACATACATGTACCAACATGTAGGCAAAACATCCATATAAATAAAAATAGTCTTCTAAAACCAATGTATGTTTAAAAAACAATGACTTCAAAATTAAGAAAAATGAAATTCCTAGGGTTTTAAATTTATTTTTTTGTTTTGTTTTAGTTTGAGACAGGGTTTTACCACAAAATTCTGGCTGTCTTGGAACTTACCATGAAGACCAAAATCTACCTGCTTCTGCGATAAAAAAAACATGTACCATCTTGCCCTGCTCCAAATTACTAGCTTAAAAATGTATTTGCCATAAAATACGTTTATACTTTAAAATTTTATGAATTCTACCAATACAGAGGCTAAAATATTTAGTTATTATATCTCTTTCTCAATAGTTAACATCAAAAACATGAAAATGGATTAATTTTGCATATTAATCCAGATAGAAAACGGGCTATGGCAAAGTCTGCTTCATATAAAGGTGGTTTTAAGTAGTATCGAGACTAGCTCTATGGCTCCTGAATGCCAGTGTAGAGGAAGAACAAATACAGAAATTCTCATGACGTCCCAAATTAAAGCAGTGACAGGAAATTCCAGCACACAGGGCCTCAAGAATGGAGCCAGCCAGGATCTGATCCACAGTTGGGCATCCTAATCAGGCCAAAGATGAGTATAATAATAGAGGCTCTTCTGTACTCTAACACATACACACAGACAGACATACACACAACAAGCACACACAAGCACACATACAAATATAATCTTTTACTCCCACAGCATGAGAACTAATCAATGAAATTTCTTATATTGCTACAGTAACTATGACCTAGATTTCTGTCATGATGTCTTAACAAAACCAGTCTGATACTGAAGAATTAAGAAGTAACTAATTGTCTAAAAAATCTTTTTATACCCCTAAAAAAAACTAAAATTAGCCATGCGTGGTGGCGCATGCCTTTAATTCTAGCACTTGGGAGGTAGAGGCAGGCAGATCTCTGTGAATTCAAGGCCAGCCTGGTCTACAAAGTGAGTCCAGGACAGCCAGGGATACACAGGAAAACCCTGCCTTGAAAAACCAAAAAGAAAAGAAAAAAATAACTAAAATTTTCTTAAGATTTGTAAGTTGTGGTATAATTTGATGACATATTCTTTAAATAATTGATAATGAACACTTCTTGGCCTTTTGGCTTATGATCAAGGATGAAGAATTAATGAGTTAATTATTTCTTTCTTTACACCTTTTCACTGTAAGGTAGGACACTGAGAAATCTTTTGTTGTTGTCTGAACTTATTCACTGATATACTCAAGAGACAACTGAAATCTTGAGAGCTCTCTTTGAGTAAAATACATTTTCATTTCAAGAATAGCAGGCGAGTCTGGGGATGGAGCTCAGTCCGTAGAGTGTTTGCCTGAAATTTTTAGTAGCTTCAAAGTTGTGTGAAATCACACTTAGCAACCAATATAACTGTTTTAAAGGCAGAGTTTCTCTGTGTAGCCTTAGCTGTCCTTGGCTCTCTTTGTATACCAGGCTCAAAGTGAACTCACAGGAGTTGCCTGTTTCTGCCTCCCTGAGTGATGGAATTACAGGCTTGGGCCAATGCACTCGTCTGTTTTAAATTTATGAATATATGTGCATAACAATTTCATGGCCTATGAAAAAGCTATTTGTTTCACTTGCTAGGCTGCAATAGTATCTTAGAAAGATGAGGAAGGCCTTGTTGAATTATTGCCAGGATCTCTTACTAGATAGGTTATCTTGAAAAGTTGCTAGACCTTAAAAGATAAGTAGTATCTATTCCACACACTAGATGTAAGAACGAGATAATGAATACACAGTAAGTTCCTTTTATACTGATACAATCTTGTTTTCGTGCAGAAACCTACAGATTTCATTGTTCTATTATCTAATGTTTCTTAGTTCCACATTCAGAGACAGTCATGTTAACTGTAGCCACAGAAAAATGATCGTATGTTATCACTGGAACTGGTGAGCTTCTGGAATGTAAGATAGGTAGATCACAAAAAATGTGGGGCAGGGGAGGGGGATATAGACTATATCAAAAGAGGCGCATTAAGGAAGGTAAATGCAATTCAATCTAGTTCAAATGTCTTGTAAGCATTTCCCCAGGCCAGTCCAAGGCCCTGATAACCTGTTAACCGCACATTCCAAATGCAAAAAAGTACATTTGTGGGGGTAGAGAGATGGCTCAGAGTTTAAGAGCGCTCATTGGCTGCTCTTCCAGAGGTCCTGAGTTCAATTCCCAGCAACCATATGGTGGCTCACAAAAATCTATAATGAGATCTGGTGTCCTCTTCTAGCATGCAGGTTTACATGCAGACAGAACATTGTATACGTAATAAATAAATTAATATTTTTTTTTGAAAAAAGTACATTTGTGGCAGAAAGCATAAAGCTGAAAATATTTTTTAAATAAAAGGTTTTCAATAAGTAAATTCGAGGAAAATGCCTTGCTAGCTTTTTTCTGGTCTAATTAAATCATTAAAACTTATTCAATGCTGAGCACAGTGGTGCACTAAGGTAGGCAGAGGCAGGTGTATCTCTATGAGTTCAAGGTCAGCCTGGTCTACAAAAGCAAGTGCAAGACAGCCAGGGCTACACAGAGAAACTCTGTCTCGAAACAAAACAAAACAAAACAAAACAAACAACAATAATAATAAACCCACAGTGTCAAGTATATTTCAACAAATCTAAGAAGTATTACGTGTAGTGAGATTTATTTCTAAATCCTTGGCATTCTCAGGCAACTGTAACTACAGATAAGCTAAATCCTGGCAACTTCCTTCGTCCCTCCCCCATGAAGGGGTAAAAGAGTAATTCAAAAAAACAAATCAAAGCAAAACAAACTCAGCCTGTCACGGTGGGGCCTGTAATACCACCACTCAGAGAGGCAGAGGCAGGCGGAGCTCTGTGAGTTTAAGGCCAGCCTGGTCTACAAAGCGAGTCCAGGACAGCCAAGGCTACACAGAAAAAAACAAAAAACAAAAACAAAAACCCTGTCTCGAAAAAACAGAAACAAACAAGCAATCAATCAAAAAACAAACTCACTAAACGCCAGCTGAAACTTATGCTGGTTCACACAAATCTCTCCAGCAGGGTCGAGGCATAAGCTTGGGCTGCCAAAATCTGGGGGCTGTGGTAGCACAGACCACAAAGGAGCTTAGGTTTGCATTTCACTGTGGCCAGCATCTCCGATACCGAGCAGGAAGGCTAAGTGCCCTGTTTACAGGCAAGGCCTAGGTCGGGCATTCTTCAAATAGCGAGTGTAAGGGAAAGTAACGGAGGAAAGAGGCTCGGGCTCGCAAGTTTACCTTTCAGCGCCAGCAGGTGCTCCTGTTTCGGGGGGTTCACCTCCATCTTGACAGGCACTTCTGACCTCAGCCTGCTCAGCCTGAAGTTTGATGCCGGTCGGGAAGGAAACTGCAAAGCGCAAGTCCCGGAACACCCGGTGTCAAACGCACGCCCGGATGACTTAAACCCTCTTTCCGTTAAATCCTTTACGGCCCCATCGAAATCTTTGCACCAAGGCCATTCCTTCGCTCAGAAGTACACGCACTTTCCTCAACCACAGAGGCAGACACGAAAGAGCTACTCCTGGCGAACCACACAAGGCCTCCCAAAGGCTTACATTGCGCGGTGGGGGTGGGGCGAGGAAGTGGCGTGGCATGCTGGGATTTGTAGTTTATTTTGTAAAAAATTCACAGCGGGAGGAGGATAGCAAGGAGCTGTAGCTCACTCCTTCACTCTGGCTCTTTTCAGTTTTTGAGGAAAAAAATCAGTACAGGAACGGCATTTTTGTTTGTTTGTTTGTTTGTTTTTCACATTTTTTTTCTTCCCTCCATTACTCGCGGACGGCTTCAAGACAGCATAGCGCGCACGCGCAGGCCGTACAGCCAATGACTGACGGGAGAGAAGCGTTCAGACGAGGCGGAACGGCGTCCCATCTGCACTGCGCACGCGTGGCGGCGGCGTGCGCCGAGGCTTCTGGGAAGGTCGCTCAACCCCTCTACTCAATTAAAGGCTCTGCTGCAGCTGTGGCGCCGCTCCTCCCAGGATGGCTGCCTTTGCTGTAAACAAGCCCGGAGCCGGAGTAGACAGTGGGCGGCAGGGCAGCCGGGGGACGGCTGTGGTGAAGGTGAGGGAACTTGCGTGCTCTGTTCTCCACCTGCGGCCTCCCTTCGGTCCGTCCTGGAGACCTGGCCGCGACTGTGCGGCCCAGGCTTGGCAGGGCGGGATGCGCGGCCTCTGGAACGCGGCGGGCGTTGCAAGCCTTTCCAGCCCCTCAGCTGTCTTTGCCCAGCTGGCCTGCAGTTGCCCTGTTTTCTAACTGAGGCGTCAACGTCGTCCGTGGGGCTGTTGGTGAAAAGCACCGCGTGGGCCTGTGGAAGTTGACCTGGATTGGTCTCTCCCCTAGTCTTTTTCTAGTGAAGCCTCCACATGCAATTAATTGGCGTAGTTGTATTAAACAGTCATTACAATATACAAGTTCTATGGTAGATGTTTCAGCTCGCCAGTATCTACCTAAAAGGTAGATGTTAATTCGCATTTTATATGGAAGGAACCCTAGGTTTAAGTTCATACAATATGTGGCAAGGGCCAAGAGTTTATTGGTTGTAAAAATCTGCCTTTCAACATTGCACTCATGTACATTTTTGAGCTGCCCCTTGACTCTGAATAGGACCGTCTGAAAACTTAAGGAGTCTTCAACTGCACCATAGTTGGGCTTCAACACTAGATGTATGGAGTACCTTCTGCTTAGAAGATTCTACCATAGTTACAAAATGCATTTACTAAAAATTAAGTGCAAGTATGTGTAGAAGCTCCTCCCCCCCCCCCCCCCCCCCCCCCCCGCCCACTGTAAAATAGATCTGGACGGGGTAAGTGGTTTAGAGTGTAACTTTAAAGATCATCTGTGGTCAAGAGATTAACTGACAACTCAGAGTGTATTGACACTCTGTCATATACCTGTGATTACAACTAGATAAATATTTTCTAAGAGCTACTTTATCAGTAAGAATGGGAATTAAGATTTAATTCTCAGCTAATGTTGTTTTTGCCTTTATATAATTTTGTGAAATCTAGACCTTACCTGAACATCTTGGAGATTTTCTTAAAAGTTCTTTATAGTTTAGAGAAGAGATTGTCATCCCAAAACACATTTTAGATTATTTCGTTGAAATTGGTGGTTTAGCTGGACATAGTAGCAACCTCCTGTAATTTAAAAAAATTTTTAAACCTCCAGTACTTTTTTAAATTTCCAGAAGTGATTTTAATGTACACTTGGATTGATAACAGTGAACCAAATCTGGTTAAACTTTCTTTTAATTCATTAAATCATAGATTACTTTTCTTTTTTTTTTTAAAGCGAAGTTCTTTTTTAAGGAATTTATGCCCTCAATTTATTATCAGTTGTTTGTTTCTGGTTGTTGATTCAGCTAATTGTTTATATTAATGAAATTATATTCAAGGTACAAAAATCTGGAATGTGAAGGAGCCCTCATTAGGCATACTTTATGCGTGAGATGTAATGTTCTGAGTTGTGCTTTTGCCAAGTAGAGAATATCTGCAGAGTATTTTGTGAATTTAATTTCAATAATTGGAATGACTAGCATGACTTTCTTTGCACCTTAGTCATGATATTCTGTGTATATACATAAAAAACATGGAGTTATGGCATTGAATGCACTATTATTTATCATTCAATTTAGCATTTATATGTATATTTACTTTGTTTTTAATTGATGTTACAAATAGTATTTTAAGGAATAACACACCGATCTTTTCATTTATGGGCTATGAATGTAACTCGATAGTAGAATATTTGCCTGGTATATTCAAGACCCTGGGATTTCCCAGCAACAAAAACAACAATAATAAGGAAGAAAACATTTGGATTTTGTCTTATGTGAATGGTATAGTTTAGAATAAATATCTTAAGTACTACTAAATTGCTTCCATAGATGCTGTTATTGCTCAATTTTTCATATCAGTGAAATTGTTTTCCTGCACTTTCATTAATACAGTGTTAACTTTTTGAAAAAGTATCTTGATGTAGTTATTCTTTGCACCTTAATGAGTTAGATTGAACTCTTAATGTAATTAAAATTTTCCTTATATATTTAACTTAATATAGTTTAAGATATTTTTTCTTGTGAATTATACTATATTTATGTTTTTTTGAACTATACCAATATATGAGACAACTATGAATTACCCAATTTATTTACAGTAAAAGATGTTTGCATCTTAATTTCTAAGTCTAAATGTATTGGAGAATCAAGTTTTAAAACTGTAATGGTCCTAATGAGATTTCCACTCTAAATTTTTTATTTTGTGTTGTGTGAGTTTGGTGGCCTGAATTGTTTTTAATTTTTTAAATTTTGTTGGATTTTATTGTCATAAGCATAAAGGTCATTTATATTTGGAGTGTACTGTTCAGCATTCCTGTTCTAATAGGAAAAGACAGGCTGGTCAGTTAAAGTATTGAAATATTTGGGTCAGACAGGCAGATAGATACTCAGAGTACATGGAAACCCAGAGGATAATGTGGTCATTTCAATTGGAGGGAGAGATGGCTAGACCAAGAGATATGTTATTTAGGGATTTTTTGGTTTATGAAAGTAAAAACTTTAAAAAAGGAAACCAGTAGGTAAATGTTTACCTGTTTCCTCATCAGTAATTAGTATAGGAAAGAAGGAGTGAAGAAATACCTCCTGTGCTGGGATACACTTGCAGTATAGGAGGTTGAAGGGTATGTCAGTGAAGCAACAGAACAGGTCCAAACTGTAGTGTCTTGCTTGGTAGACAATGGAATAATTCATTGTGAATATTTTTAAAAAGCAATCAAAACTGAAAACAACACAAACAAGATGGTTGTAATTACACTTTATGACTATTTATAAAATATTAACCCACCTGAGAATCAGGGTGAGCCAGTTCTTACAGCTTTTCTCTTGACTGCCTTTCAGTAAGTCATATACCTGTGATTACAACTAGATAGATATTTTCTAAGTCAGAGCTACTTTATCAGTAAGAATGGGAATTGAGTTTTAATTCTCAGCTAATGTTGTTTTTGCCTTTATATCATTTCGTGAAATCTAGACCTTACCTGAACATCCTTGGAGACTTTCTTAAAAGTTCTTTATAGTTTAGAGAAGAGATTGTCATCCCAAAACACATTTTAGATTATTTTGTTGAAATTGGTGGTTTAGCTGGACATAGTAGCAACCTCCTGTAATCTTAGCATTTGGGAGACAGAGGCAGGAGGATCACTGTAAGTTTCAGGCCAGCTTGGACTGAATACTGAATACAGGAATACTCAGTGAAATGTCATTTTGCAAGGAAATAAAAGAGGATCTAGAGAGATACTAGCTATTGAGAGCACTGACTGCTCTTTTGAAGGACTGGGCTTTGATTCTCTGCACCTACATGGTGAGTTACAACCATCTGTAACTCTAGTTCCAGGAAATCTGATGCTCTTTCCTGACATCCGTGGACACTGCATGAACATGGTGCACCATACATGCAGGCAAAACACCCATAAACAAAATAAGAATAAACATTTTTTAAATTTAATTTATTTTTATTAATTACACTTTATTCACTTTGTGTCCCCCCATAAGGCCCTCCCTCCTCCCCTCCCAGTCTCACCCTCCCTCCCCCTTCTTCACACATGCCCCTCCCCAAGTCCACTGATAGGGGAGGTCCCCCTCTCCTTCCTTCTGATCTTAGTCTATCACATCTCATCAGGAGTGGCTGCATTGTCCTCTTCTGTGGCCTGGTAAGGCTGCTCCCCCCTCAGGGGGAGGTGATCAAAGAGCAGGCCAATCAGTTTATGTCAGAGGCAGTCCCTCTTCCCATTACTATGTAACCCACTTGGACACTAAACTGCCATGGGCTACATCTGTGCCGGAGTTCTAGGTTATCTCCATGCCTGGTACTTGGTTGGAGTATGAGTCTCTGGAAAGACCCCTGTGTTCAAATTTTCTGGTTTTGTTGCTCTCCTTGTGGAGTTCCTGTCCTCTCCAGCTCTTACTATTTCCCACTTCTTACATAAGATTCCATGCATTCTGCCCAACAGTTGGCCTTAAGTCTCAGCGTCTGCTTTGATAGTCTGCAGGGCAGAGGCTTTCAGAGGCCCTCTGTGGCAGATTCCTAGGTTGTTTCCTGTTTTCTTCTTCTTCTGATGTCCATCCTCTTTGCCTTTCGGGATGGGGATTGAGCGTTTTAGTCAGGGTCCTCTCTCTTGATAAGATGTACAGATTTTAGTAGGTTTATCTTAAAATAGTTTTTAAAAATGTAAATGAAAGCAAAATGAAATGATTGTTGATTGGCGGTGTCAGTAGAATTATAAATTATTACATATTCAGCTTTCAGAAGATTAAATTATGTTAAGTACATTAATTTGCAACATAAGAGTATTTCACAGAGGTTTCACTTTGGCAAGGTCTGTCAAATGGGAATGAATAAAAATGTGACAATGTTTTATAACTAAGTTTTTTTCATGGTGGAATAAAGAAGGTTGATTTAATATACTATGTCAATTGTTTTTAAATCTAAAATATTTGAATATTGTTTCAATACTGTTTACAAAGTATGTGTTTCTGTTTCACATACTAGGTTCTGGAGTGTGGGGTTTGTGAAGATGTCTTCTCTTTGCAAGGAGATAAAGTTCCTCGCCTCCTTCTTTGTGGCCACACAGTCTGTCATGACTGTCTCACTCGCTTGCCTCTGCATGGAAGAGCAATACGTTGCCCGTTTGATCGACAAGTAACAGACCTGGGTAGGAAAATTATTCATGTAATACAAATGTCACAGAAAAAGATTTCTTTACACTTGACTTTTTAGATTAAATTCCAAAGAGCTTTCAGAATTTGTTTCTATTAAAAGTCAGTGGGATTCTAAGTGTAACCTAGCCTATTCTTAATTACCAGTGAAAAATCTGAGGTTTTTATATTCAATACTTAATACAAAGAGCTTTAAGAAGTATCAGAAATATGTGCTATTTTTATTCAAAGAAATGAGAATACTTCATCACAGAGTAAATCTTTTGCCTAAACCTATAAATCCAGTACCTTTAAAATGAACAAGCAGGTTGTCAAAATATGTATTAAGTGATTTGAGTCTCAATATGTATCTGCCTGTGTGGGGATGACCAGCGCTGATGTTGAGACTCTTTAGGAACTGGCATGTATTGCTAGTCTTGCTAGTGCAGCTCCAGAAATCCCAATTTACCTTTGATGCTAGAATAGCAGTGAGCCACCATACCCACTTGGATTTGTGTGGGCTTGGAGACCTGAACTCTGAGCTTTGTGATTGGCAGCAAGCGCTGCAGTCACTGAGCCATCTCTGCAGCCCCTCGTTTGTGCAACTGCAGTTTTTTCTGCTGTGTGTGCTTTCCTGGGTTGTGATATAAAATTCATTTCTTAATGTAGGTAGCTGTAAATTTTTTTTTTTTAAATATTGCAATACTTGGAAAAAAAAAAGATACGTAAGAAATGTGTTTACTTGTAGTGCTTAGTTGTTAACATTATCAAGCCATTTTCCTGGCAGCTTTCAGACATTATTAATGACTGAACTATGTGTGTTAGAAATTACTCCTAAGGTCTGCGGCAAATGATTAAACTTTTATTTTGTTACATTTACTTTTGTTTTCATATTTGTCCTAGGAGATTCAGGAGTCTGGGGTCTGAAAAAAAACTTTGCTTTACTGGAGCTTTTAGAGCGATTGCAAAATGGACATATTGGTCAGTATGGAGCTGCAGAGGAAGCCATTGGGATATCTGGAGAGGTACTGAGAGGACTTGTTGAAATACTCCTTACAAGAAGATTTTTAAAGACTAAAACACTTTCCAATATGTGTACAACCTTACCTTGTTTGCTTTATCTGAGTTTTTAGAAACACAGCTTTTTACTATATTACAATTCCAAAGTGGACACTGTTCTCAAAAATAAAACAGAAACTAAAACTTGTTGAAGTTCTATGCCTAACCTGCTCTATGAGGAGGCTCTTCCCTTATCACAATTTAGTGATGTGTAAGGAAAACTTTTAAGGTAGAAGAGCGTAACAGAAATACGCAAAACTAAATCTCAGTGGCAAAATGCAAGATAGACAAACTTTATGAGAAGCCATTCAGTTCAGAGGTGAACTAGCTCAAATATAACAGTGGAATCTGAGGAAGTTGCTACTATTGAGTATTTTCAAAACAATAAGAAAAAGTTAAACACTATGCTTGATGTATGTTATTCTGCAGGCAGATGTCTGGTAAATATTGCCAAAACAAACCATTAATAAGTGAAAACACATTTTAGCACTGCAAGAGTTGTCTGCATAGTTTATTTAACAAATGAAAGATTTCTGTATAGAAGGATATTTTCAGGTGGTGGTGTTAGTAATGAACTTTAAGAACTACATATTTGATTCAAGGGGAAAAAAACCCAACAGATTTTGGGAGATTGTATCCTCCCTTTGGTGATTTCTTTCTGTTAAAATGAATTAGAAAAATGATTTTTGAATTGAAGCATTCTCATTTACAAAATTGTTGCAGTTCTTAATGCTTCATCTTCTACCTTTATTTTAAAATACTAGAATATTATGTACTGTGGATTTCACAAATTATTTGTAAGGTGTAAAAAACAGAAGACATGAGTATTTTATAATTCAAATACATATTTATCATTGTTGCAAAATAAATTGATTCATTCTTTGGGTCATTTAAAAATTTAATTTGACCATTTGTGTACTATCTAATTTTTATTTCTGGAAATAATACACTAAGTGTCTCCTTTGCCAATTAACAGTCTTTTAATATTATATAGCAGTTTTCAAAGCATTCCTCATTATCTGAAATGTTATTTTTACATCCTTCAGTGCCTTTCTTTTATAAAGATTTTGGTATGGTTCAGTGCAGAGTACTGGCTTACCATGGAAGAAACCCGGGGTTTGAGCACCAGGACCACAACCAAAGAAACGTTTTTTGATACTTCAAGAAAATTAAAAATTGTATTTAGCAGCTGGCATAAAGGGCTTATTATTTATTTTCTAAATATGTGGTTTTTAGTCATGATTTTCATCCATTCACCTATGGCGTTATTTGAAAGTTTGTGTATATTAGGACATATATATATATATATATATATATATATATATATATATATATATATATATATATATATATGTGTGTGTATATATATATATATTTCATTTTATCTATCTATCTATCTATCTATCTATCTATCTATCTATCTAT